TATCTCAGTCCTGTTCTCTTTTTTGTTCTCCTATAAAATTTCAGTGAACCATGTGTTAGACTGTCTCACTTTATCACCATCCCCCTTCATTTCTTTTTTCTGTTTTCTTTTGGTCTCTGTATGCTCCTTCTGGATAGTTTCTTGCCTTTCAGTTCTCAAATTCTCTGTTTTGGTGTATCTAATTTGCTTCATTGGATTCTTAGTTTTTGTTATTTTATGTTCCCTGCAGATATAGTCAAACTGTCTTTTATTTCTTTAATCTAGTAGACATAGTTGTTTAATAATCTGTTAATTTTTGTATTTGAAGTTTTAAAAAATCTGTTTCTGCTATATCTTATTTTTCCTAGTTGTTGCTCAGGCCTTTATTTCTTTTATGCTTTGGTTTTTTTGTCTGTGTGCTGTTCATTGTACTTGAAAAATTATTTGTGAAATTTATTTGAGATCTAAGATGAAGATATGTTTCTCCAGGGAGAATTTTTATTTGCTTCTCTCAAGTGTCTAGAGATTCTACCAGTCCCTACAAACTACTGAATTCATGGCTTGCTTGCTTTGTTTGATTTGCTAGTGTGTTTCTTTGAACCAGCCAAGCAATATTGATTTGGATTGTATTAATATTTCTCAGGGGAGCCTGCACACCCTGCATGGCCAAGGCAACTGTTGCAGCTCCCTGAGGGCAGAGAACTATTTCTTCTGGCTTACATTTTCCCTGAGGTTTTATTTAACCCTTTGAAAGTACAGCTTAAAGTGGGAAGAGTTTCATATTTAGCCGCCTCTGCTGGATGGGCTTTAGCCTATGATTATCCACTCGGCAACATGGTGCCCAGGGATTGGAAAATCAAGATCTTGGGGTGTTCTTAGGGCAAATGTGACTTTGATGCTTCTTTTACTACCTCTTTTGTGTTCCTCATTTCCGTTAGGTTTTGCCATGACAAATCCCTACTATTTTGTCAACTTTTCAGTACTTTTAATATCTTCTAAAAAAAAATTTTGTCCTGTCTTTATAGTTGTTTTCTAAGGGAATGTTGGTACAAACATCCCAATCTGCTATATTTCCAGAGATATTTAAAGATCTTTTAAGCCCTTGGCAAATGATTATTGAATGTATGACAGAATGATTTGTTTTAGCATTGTAGGTTCAATAACACAGTGTGCCAGCTAGTGAGATTACTGTTGTGAAGTATTACAGGCATTCTGGAACCTGCATTTAAATTTATTGGGTGGGGTAGGAGTGTTGTTTTTAAGGAGGTGTGGCTTCTACTCATAGATTTTTTTTAAAAACCTATAAGTTCTTTTTTCCAGATCACTTTGATTATTCTGTTTTACTTGTATTTTCTAAAGTGAAAATGTTAGTTTTCCCTGATAAAGGGATACATGCTGATTATGAAAGTCCAATAATTCAGAAGTGGTAAAATATAAAGTCCTTTCCACAAGAGCTGTTATTAAAGAGTTTAGTGGGTGTATATGTATACATGTATGTTCATATAGCAGGTTCCCTCATTTCCATTGTATAAATTTATTTAGACAATAGACTTAAATATTTTGTATTCTCTAAGTTATGCTATAATGAATATCCTTGTGTATATATCTGTGCTTATGCATTTGTTTACTTTGGATAAATTTCCAAAGCTTAGTTTCCAAGTCAAAGAATATGCACACTTTAAAATGTCATCACATGAATGGATAAAGATGTGGTGTGTGTACACACATGTACACACACACTGGAATATTACTCAGCCATTAAAAACAATGAAACAGTGCCATTTGCAGCAACATGAATGAACCTAGAGATTATCATACTAAATGAAGCAAGCCAGACAAAGACAAATATCATATGATATCACTTATATTGGAATCTTAAAAAATGACACAAATAAACTTATTTATAAAATAGAAATAGACCCACAGACATAGAAAACAAACTTACGGTTGTAAAGGGGAAAGAGTGGATGTATAAATTAGGAATTTGGAATTAACATGTTAATATACACACTGCTACATATAAAATAATAACCAACAAGGACTAACTGTATACAGGAAACTATTCATATTTTTTTTCGTTTATTTTTATTAGTTGGAGGCTAATTACTTTACAATATTTAGTGGGTTTTGCCATACATTGACATGAATCAGCCATGGATTTACATGTGTTCCCTATCCCGATCCCCATTCCCTCCTCCCTCCCTATCCCATCCCTCTGGGTCATCCCAGTGCACCAGCCCTGAGCACTTTTCTCATGCATCCAACCTGGACTGGCGATCTGTTTCACCCTTGATAATATGTGTGTTTCGATGCTATTCTCTCAGATCATCCCACCCTCGCCTTCTCCCTTAGAGTCCAAAAGTCTGTTCTATACATCTGTGTCTCTTTCTCTGTCTTGCATATAGGGTTATTGTTGCCATCTTTCTAAATTCCATATATATGCGTTAGTATACTGTATTGGTGTTTATCTTTCTGGCTTACTTCACTCTGTATAATGGGCTCCAGTTTCATCCATCTGTATTCATATTTTATAATAACTTATAAGGGAAAAGAATCTGAGAAAGAAAATATGTGTTCAGTTACATATATATAACTGAGTCACTTTTCTGTATACCTGAAACTAACATAGCATTATAAATCAACTATGCATCATTTAAAATAAAATTAAATAAAATGAAATATCATCACATAATTGCTAGCAGGTCATCAACAGTTTGAGAGTCCCAGTTTCTTCCTATCCTTCTAAACTGAATTTTACATTATAGTCTTCACCAGTGAGAAAAATACCTTGTTTTAAGTTGCATTTCTTCATCAGTGATATTAACTATCTTTTCATATGTTTAGTGGCCTTTTGGATTTCTCTTTTAATGCTTATTCAGTTTATTATAAATAAATAAATATTTATTCTAGCATTTGCTTTGTCTTACTGATGGTTAGGAGTACATTATTTATTAAGATTGTTAGCTCATTGTCACTTATAGTATAAATATTTTCTACCTCTTTATAATTTGTTTTTTAATTTATGTCCACTTTCACCATTCAGAAGTCAAAAAATTAGAAGTGATCAAATTTATCAATGTTTTTCTCTTCATGACTTATTACTAGTTTTGTCTTATTCTTAGATATTCCTATATGGTTTGTGTTTGTAATGTCATGTTTAAAAAGCCCTTCACCACTGGAAAGTCATAATAGCATTTGTTTATATTTTCTTATAATTTTTATGTATACTATAAGGAAGTAATATACTTTTCCTTTTTTCTAATATCTATGTACATATCCTATCTATCACCTTTGTAATAGAATTCCCACTAATTAGAAATGCAGTATAATCACAAATTATACATCCATTTTATATGGGTATTTTTCTGATTTTTCTGTGCGACTGATGAGTCTGCTTGTTCTTTTACCAATATTATGCTTATTTGGTTAATGTTACTTTGTTGTTGTTTAGTCGCTAAGTCATGTCCGACTCTTTGCAACCCCATTGAATTGGAGCCCACCAGTCTCTCCTGTGTCCATGGGGTTTCCCAAGCAAGAATATTGGACTGGGTTGTCATTTCCTTCTCCAGGGGATCATCCCAAACCAGGGTTGTCTCCTGAACTGGCAGGTGGATTCTTAAAACACTCTGAGCCACCAGAGAGGCCAGTGTTGCTTTGTAGTAAGTTTTAATAGCCAGTCAGGTTTCCCTGGTACCCTTTATCAAAAATTACATGCTAATTTTGATTATTTTTCCAAGTGGACCTCAGAACTAAAATGTGAAAATCCATAGAAACAGTCTCCCCAGAGTGCAGAGGAGAATCACTGTACTACCACAACACCCTTTCTTGCAAAAATAGAAACAAAAATACGCAAAAAGCCCTAAGCACTAGCTTTTAGAAAAATTTGACATATATAAAATTTGAACTCAGGAGCATAGTATTTTGATATTTAATGTAGGTTGTCTTTTATATTTGTCAGTGAACTATAGTTTTTGTTTTACGTGTAATCCGCATATTGTTTCCTTCTAAGTATTTTACAGATAATTTTGAATCTGCTTTTTCTCCTGATGCTACTTGTTCTGATTATAATCAGTTGTTGATATGTGGGGAAGTTGTTGACTTTTGTGTATTTATTTTATACTTGGCCATCTTACTGAACTCTTATTTGTTGTTTTTCGGTTGATTTGTTTGATTTCCTTTGTGAATAGTTATATCATCCAAAATTGACACTTTCTAATGTTTGATATTTTCCAGTGTTTATACCTCATATTGTTGTCCTTATTACTTTGGCTAAAAATTCTATGATAATGTTGAATGACTGTGATTTTCATGTGTTAACCCCTGTCTAGCTCCTAATTTTAATGAAGGTGTCTCAAGTATAGCACCATTAATTACAGTTATGTTTATTTCTGAAAAAATACTCTGTTGAATTATAAATGGATACTTATAGTTTTTTTTTGTTTGAAGTATTGCCCAACAATGTGCAAATCTTTTTGCATCTAAAGGAAAGAATCTTGATTCTCTGCCCTCCCCCACCAACATTAATGTAGTGAATTACATTAGTAGATAGAATAATGAACTATCTTTATATTTCTGGAATAAGCCATACATAATTGTGGTATATTACTCTTTTGTTTGTATTTATTTTATATTTTGCATATAGGTATAATATGGTAATAGAATAGAATAGAGAGTAAAGTAAGTAGGGGCCAAATGCCTTAATCTTTACTAACTTAGAGGTTATAAATAGCATTTCCTTGTAGAATTGAGGGTATAATGAAGTTGTTTGTTGAACTCTACAAAGTAACCTGCAAATTCAGAGTTCTCTAAATACAGAACCATTAAAATGTACTAACTCAGGTTTATAGATAGGTCACAATCCAGTGATAATGTGACTGTACTCTCCATATTTGTTTTCAGAGGGTTTTGTTTTTTTAAGCCCTTCTTATATCTGATAACTGTGTGTAATCTGTTGCATGCTTTGGCCGTATCAGATGTTTTCTTTGTCATGTAATTTGCGTGTTTCCTTTCATGTTTTCCAGCGGCGAGTAGAACAGCCTCTCTATGGTTTAGATGGCAGCGCTGCAAAGGAGGTGTCAGAGGAGCAGTCTGCCCTGCCAACGCTCATGTCGGTGATGCTGGCGAAGCCTCGGCTCGACACGGAGCAGCTGGCGCAGAGGGGAGCTGGCCTCTGCTTCACTTTTGTCTCGGTGAGTACTGAGGCTGCGTTTATGCACATCCTTGTGTTCCTGGGGCTCCAAGGTGGAGTCTGAGCAAGGACTTCGGTAGAGAGATGATGACTTCTAACTCTGTGTTACCTCTAAAGGTGAGTGCTTGTGCTCGGCCCCGCCTGGCTCAAGGCGCCGAGAGAGGCTGCTTTCACAGAGTCTGAGTGCCCTGTGGGATGGAAAACACAACCCTAGGGTGACAAAAAACAGAAAATACCGATTAAATTCCATTACAATTAAAAATAAAATCTCCAGACTCCAACCATCACTTATTTGAAGTAATATTCAAGTTAATAAAATATTAGTGTGGGGACAAGGCATGCTTACTAGTCATTTCCCCCTCTATGGTATCTGGACAGCCTGCATGCTTGCTTTCTTCATTTCTTCAGAGTATTAGCACAGTTGCTTTTCCAAGACTGTTTGGCTACCTGTTTGTTCCTTTCAGCTTACTTCTTTCTTCCTTGAAGGACAGGAATTTGGAAAAAAAAAAAAAGAACAGGAATTTGATTATTATAAATGTTTGACCCCATATTTTATTTGCCAAATTATAATTCAGTTTGACTTAAAAGTTGTTGCTTTTCTTGGTTTCTTTACCCTGCCAAGTACCTGTTTGTTTTCAGTGATGCAATAAAGCAACAGAAAGTCCCATCACCCTGTCCCTCCATTTTTAGGGGCCTCCTTCAGAGCTGACATTACCATTGATCAACATTTCTTTCTCTCTTACTGGTTCATTTTCTCCAGTAATCTGTTTCCTCCTTACTTGTTCCATGGTTTCTGGGCAAATAAATCTCTATAATCTCTGGGATTAACCCACATGTGATTGTATTAAAAAAGGCCATGAAATGGTGGGTGTCTTAAGGAAGGGAGATAAAAATAATAAGATAATTAGATCGGGATCATTGTATATTATTTGAATCCCTTCTGCCCTTCCTTCCTTTTCTCATTCTTTCCTTCCTCACAGTTCTTTAAGTTTGGGGGTAATTTGTTGCTGAGCAATAGAGAACTAATACATGTGGCTTTATCTCTAATGCCTCCTTTTTCCCTCATATTCTACATCTAATCTATCAGAAAACATACCTAACATCTAGAATCTGACCATCTCTCACTGTCTCCACTGCCACCATGATGGCCCAGCATCTCTCTGCTTTGGAATGCTTTCTTATAGAGGAGTAACATGGTAATCACATCTGAAGAAGGAACATGGAAACAGTATAAAAACCAAAGGCCTAGAAGCTTTGGTATAGTTCTGTTTCTCTTTGCTTCTCTGCGGTTCCAACTGGGATATAAACTTAGTGAGATAAAAAAGGAGAAAAGCAAAAAAGTTAGCATTAATATATAACAAATGTTGGTTAATAGAGACAAGCAGTTTCCTTTAAAAAAAATAAAGGGCAAAGGCTATGAACAGGCAGTTTTAACAGGGGAAAAAAGGACAAATGTCTAACAATGTGAGAAATTGGTTAACTTCAGCCATAGAGAAATGCAAAATAAAATAACTTATCAAATTGACAAGGACTAGTAAATTTGGTGATTCTTGGTACAGGTAGTCGTTTAGATACACATATAGTGCTATGTGTATGTATAGATTGGTACAGTCATTTGGACAGGTTGATAGTGTATCTCAGTGTTAAGGTTACATATCCTTGGGTCCAGAAATTCCATTCCCATGAACTACATACACAAAGATGTTTATTGTATTGTTTATAAATTGCAAAAATCTGGAAGCAGTGTCCCTCTAGAGTGTTTCAGAGGAACTTCTAACAAGAATACCTGTTACCTCCACGTTGCTAAGTCTGGCAATCAGTTCTCAGAACTTACTCAATATAATTCATTAGCTGCAGTTGATCAGTCCCTTCTCTAAGCACATGGTCTTTTCTTTGCTTTTGCCTTTTTGATTTCTCTTCATTTCCTGGATCTCCAAATATTGGAGTGCCCCAGGGCTCAGTCTCCAGTCCTCTTGTATACCATCTTTCAGTGAGGAGAATCTCATTTAGTTTCTTACTTTCAGTCATCACCTATACTCAGAAGACTTCCAAATTTACATCTCCAGCCCAGAGCCTTTCCCTCACTTCCGGACCTATGTAGTCAGTTGTCTGTGTCTAATAGGCATATCAAATTTAACATGACCGAAGCTGAATTCTTCACTTTGTTCCCCCATTCCAAACCCCATTTCTTCCACATCTCAGTAATTTTCAGCTCTCGGCTTACAATTGTTCAAAAATCCTGGAGTCATTCTAGTCTTTATTTTATATCCTAATTCTTAATCCGTCAGCAAGTCTACTGATTTTACCTTCAAAATATGTTCAGAATCCTGCCACTTCCTCTGCCTTTAGATGACCACTCAAATCTCGTCTCCCACTGAGATCATGGTGGCAGCCTCCTAACTGAACTGTTAATTTCTGCCTTTGTTCTCAGCAGATCAGAGTGATCCCATTGGAACTTAAGTCCAAGCATGCTACTCCCCTGCTCAGAAGTGTTTGTAATGGCACATAACGCCTTGCATGGCCTGTTTCCCACCACTTTGACATCTGTTACTACTGTCTCCCTTCCTCACCAAGTTCCATCCTCACTGGCTGCCTTTCTTCTTCAAATGCTACCTGGTGTCTGTCACCTCAGGGCCTTTACCGTAACATTCTTCCTCTAGATATCACCTTGCCTTGTCCCCTTGGTTTTCTCTAGTCTTGTCTTAAATCCACAGCCTATTAGAAAGACTGTAGTGTATAAGGTAGCACTCCTTCCTGCTCCCCCCAAACATTATATAGCTGCTGTGCCCTAATTTTTCTTCTTTGCCTTATCACCTTCTTTGCCTTAACTGCTATAATTTACTTCTTTGTCTCACTCCCCACCCCCATCCTAACTCCCCTCCACTGAAGTGTAACCTGCATTAGGTCAAGGACTTCACTTAGTTCACTTCTGCACCACCAATGCTGGAACCGGATCTGCTCTCATATACACACAGTTTAATTCTATGTTGTGTGAATTAATGAAGGCATTTTTCATATAAGGACTAGTTAAATAAAATATAGTATGTATATACAATGGGATGCTCTACAATTGACCAATAAAGTGAGATAGACTTTTACATAATTTGTAGACTTTTTTTGGCCATGGGATCCCTTGCATTTCCGTCTGAATTTTAGGGTCAGCTTTTCAATTTCTGTAAACCAGACCAGATGGAATTTATAGCAACTGTGCTGACTCTGCAGATTAATTTGGGGGAGTATTGCCCTCATTAAAAAAAAGTGAGGTATATGTGCTAGCAATGAAAGACCTATAGATCAATACTGATAAGTAAAAATAGGTGGCAGAATATTATGAGTCTGATCCTTTGAATGTTTGATCCCATGGACATCCATGGCATTCTCTAGGCCAGAATACTGGAGTGGGTAGCCTTTCCCTTCTCCAGGGGTTCATCCCAACCTAGGGATTGAATTCAGGTCTCCCGCATTGCAGGCAGATTCTTTACCAGCTGAGCCACAAGGGAAGCCCGTTTAAAATCATATTGCTACATAATTTTATGTATTTCAACATAGGAAATTTGATTTTTAACATTATAAACATATACTTTTCTAAATTGTAAAAGTAGTATATGTGCATGACCTACGAATAATTGAAGTGATAGAGAAGAGTAAAATTCTTTCCTTTGTATTCATGAGATAACCAGTGTTAAAGAGTTTGTTTTAGATTTTGTACTGAATACCATTTTAACTTCAAATTATCTTTTATGCAATCAACATTCCCCATTGTGAGAGATGTTTAACATACCCAGCTTCCTTTTTCATCTTTCATCCTTTTAGTTATTGTTACATTGTTTGTGATATTTAGTTATAATTGATTTGTTTCTGCTTTATAAATTATTCTAAAAATTGAAAACATTTAAGGAGCATTTACTATATTATGGTTGTTTCATTATTGTGCACTGTAAAACTGAGTGATTTTATTGGATTCACTGAAAAGAAAACAGTCCTAGTCACTGAATTAGTTTTGATTGAATGAGACAGTTAATACTTGTCAAGGTCTAAAAGATTTTTTTTAATAAATATATGAGGTCTGTTATTTCCTCAAAAGCTACATCTTTTAATAAACATAAGATGTTCTTAAATGCTTTAATTTTTTAAAATGTAGTTTGCAGATTTTTTTTGGCTGTGGGATCCCTTGTATTTCCATATGAATTTTAGGATCAGCTTTTCAGTTTCTGTAAACAGACCAGATGAAATTTATAGCAGTTGTGTTGACTCTGCAGACTAATTTGGGGGAGTATTGACTTCATAAAAATATTGTTTTCCAGTCCATGAATATGAGATAGCTTTCCATTTATTTAGGTATCTTTAATTTATTTTTATTAGTAATAAAATTTGAAATTTTTGGTGTGTAGATTTTGCCCTTGTTTTGTTCAAATTATTTCTAAGAGTTTATTCTTTTTCATGTTATTGCAAATGTCTTCAGAGATGGCCTTTTTTGGTATTGAAAAAGTTCACTTCTATTCTGAGTTCATTGAGTTCATCATGAAAGGGTATTTGATGCTTTCTCTACATCTGTTGAGATGATCGTATGGTATCTTTTTGTTCTTGAGGTCTATCCACTATTTGTCTTGTCCTTGTCATGTCATAGCCTTTTTTAGTCTTAAAAACCTTTTACCTCAGAGAAACTTTATTTTACTGTTCTTAGATTTTTCTTTCCTTCTGCTCTTTTCCTCCTAAAAGCCTGTTAGTTTTGAAGCCTCTTCCTGTTCATGTTTCTTAACTTTTCTTTCATGCTACTTGACTTTGTTTCTTCCTCTGGGAGATTTTCTTGACATTGTCTTTCAGATTTTCTGTGTTCAGCTCTGTGCATTTTGTTACTTAGCTCATCTACTCACTTTTTAGAATATTGATACTCTTGTCACATTTAATTTCATGTTCTTTACTGATTTTCCATTTTTATAGATGTAGTATCCTTTTAACCCTCTCTGGACATATTTTATTTTTAAAGTTGTTTTTATTGAATACTCTATTTTCTCTTGGATCAGGTTTTGTTTTTTCATGTTGGATCTTCACTTTGTGCTGTTGGTTTTCTTGAAAAATGTATTTTGCTTTAGTTGAATGCAGTACTATTAGGGTGATTTGGCAGAGGTTACTGACATGGATTTTCCCTTCAGTGGCATTGTTCCGCTTCCCAATAGCTCTCCATTGGTGTATGTGTGTGCGAGTGCTACCCTGTGTAAGCATCTGGTCAGCTCTCGGCAGAAAAACCAGCTCCTTTACACACATGGAAATAAGGAGGGTGTTGTTTTGCTAGGTAACTCTAACTCTTAGCGGCGTATTCCACGTCTTCCTCAATTCTGGCAGCTGTAGGGGGCAGGGATACTGTACTTTCTTTACTTTTTTCCTTAGGATACAGTATTCACAGCAGAAGCCCCTCCCCCTGGACTCACTCATTTTCCATTTTAAATATTTACATGTTTGTTTTTATTTGAGAGACCAATTCGTGTGCTTTACCCTTGGTTCAGAAGCAGTAGTATCCATGGCCCTCACTGTGCAAGGGAGAGATCAAGAGGGGACCCTGTTGGACTATATAGGTTTTAAATGTCTGATAATTGTTCCAAGGGTCACTCCTGGTAAAGGTAAATCTCAGTGTGGGGCTTTGGAGGAGTTCCCTTCAAGAGAACCAGCTTATTTCACTGCTCGTGTTTTCAGCTATGAATTTATTTTACTTTCTCTATCAGTCTGATCCCAAATGCTTTTGAGTGTTTCTTAAAACTTAGTTTTTAAAAATTTCTGATTCTTAATTCTCGTTTGTTTCTTAACGCTGTTAGGATTTCATTTAGAAAGAAAATCTTCCAAGTATCAGTAGGACTTTGGGAAATCTAGCCTGTAATTATGAATTAGAAGCCAATACTATTTCTCTAATTGGAACGAAGAACATGGAAGTCTGGGAAAGATGTTTTGCTGAGTAAGGGTTGGACTAAATTTACAACTACAATGGTCTGCTTAGCAAGGCCATCAGCTTCTCATTTCCTGAGAACATGATCCTATAATTGTGGACTCAGGAGACTAAACTCTGTTTTCCAGTGTTGCATTTCTAGTGTTTAACACAGGACCAGGCACAGAGGTTCATAATTAATACCGAATGAATGATAAGAATTAGAGCATTTTCATGGATTTACTTGTCACAGTAGGTCCTTATATTTTTGTAGTTCTCCTATTTTTTGTAAGTATCAATTTCATTTTCATGAGGATTTGCTACCTCCTTACTTCTGTCCTACTGACTCAGTTAACTTTCTACAGTTTTACTTCTTATCATGGGGCTATTTATATGTACATTTTTACAGAGAGCTTTAATTTGGAAACATCTCCTTGAATGACATTCTAGCACCCTTTGTTTGCTGAAAGAAAACTTAGAAATGAGCACATGTTAAAAAAGGAAAAAACATTAAAAAAAGTAAAAAACCCGTATACCAAAATCTAGAAGTTCATAGAAAGAGCCTTTTAGCCTGTCATGTGATTGTTGTTGGTGTTTATTATAAAAGCAGCTCAGTAATGTTTATTTAGAGATAGGTTTTAAAAGGATAGGATTTTAAAAGCAATCTAATGATAACTGAAGGAGATAATGGTTGTATCACAGTGCAGTATAGTACGTGATTTTTACAATCATAACCCTTCATCAATAAGACGAGGTTAGGTTTGCCACATTGTAGGAAGAGTAGGGAACATTACCAGTTACTTAGACTCTCCTAAACCTGGCTCTAATCACTGCTCTGACTTACATGCTGTGTACATTGTTTTATCTCTTTGAGACTGACTCCTCAGTTTTTACTTTTTGATCCCCACAACAGTTCTCTCTCTTTCCTTTGGGTTCTTGTATGGAATGTGAGAACCTGGAATGACCCTATCATCTCTTCTCTTTGACTGCTTATTTCCTTCAAATTTTAACTCTGATATTATTTTATCAAGGAATTAAGCCTCAATTCATTATGTTAGGTTAGGTACCTTGTTGTGTATGCTTATAGCACATATCCTTAATTGCAATTTTGTATTATTATATGATTGTTTAACAGTTTCTGTCAACAAGTATATATCCAGTGCTTAAAACATCTTTTCTTGGTTTATGAGTTTACTAAGGCAGAGGACTGGGCCTTTAGGTTTTGTTTGTTTTTCTTGGCCATTGTGTCCTGAGCACCTAACATGATATTTAGATGAGGATGTTCTCAGTGAGTACTTGAATGAATAAATAAAAATGGAGATGATATTATCGCCTACCTTACAAGACTGTTGTGAGCCTTCAGTTTAGTTGTGTGTGTGAAGTGCTTAGCTTGCTTGTGGCCTGTTCACAGCAGTCCCCATAATGGCTGACGCGAGACAGTTGGTGTACTGTGCTCACAGACATCGGTTACCGTGGATGCAGATAGCCCTCAATTCTTATTCCCCCACTGACGAGCTCTGTGACCCCATGTAGGTGCTTAATATCTCAGATTTGCATTTTCTTTATAAATGAGAATAGCAGCACCTGCTTATAGGGTTTTGTAAGGTAATCCAAGTCTATACCCTGACCAGTAATGCTGAAGAAGCTGAAGTTGAACGGTTCTATGAAGACCTACAAGACCTTTTAGAACTAACACCCAAAAAAGATGTCCTTTTCATTATAGGGGATTGGAATGCGAAAGTAGGAAGTTAAGAAACACCTGGAGTAACAGGCAAATTTCACCTTGGAGTACAGAATGAAGCAGGGCAAAGGCTAATAGAGTTTTGCCAAGAGAACGCACTGGTCATAGCAAACGCACTCTTCCAACAACACAACAGAAGACTCTACACATGGACATCACCAGATGGTCAGTACCGAAATCAGATGGATTATATTCTTTGCAGCTGAAGATGGAGAAGCTCTCTACAATCAGCAAAAACAAGACCGGGAGCTGAATGTGGCTCAGATCATGAACTCCTTTATGCCGAATTCAGACTTAAATTGAAGAAAGTAGGGAAGAGCACTAGACCATTCAGGTATGACCTAAATCAAATCCCTTACAATTATACAGTGGAAATGAGAAATAGATTGAAGGGGCTAGACAGAATGCCTGAAGAACTATGGATATTGTTCATATGGACAATGTTCATGACCTTGTACAGGAGGCAGGGATCAAGACCATCCCCAAGAAAAAGAAATGCAAAAAGCAAAATGGCTGTATGAGGAGGCCTTACAAATAGCTGTGAAAAGAAGAGACACAAAAAAGCAAAGGAGAAAAGGAAAGATATATCCATTTGAATGCAGAGTTCCAAAGAATAGCAAGGAGAGATAAGAAAGCCTTCCTCAGTGATCAGTGCAAAGAAATAGAGGAAAACAATAGAATGGGAAAGACTAGAGATCTCTTCAAGAAAATTAGAGATACCAAGGGAACATTTCATGCAAAGATGGGC